GCGAATGTCCGGTCAGGTTGTCTGTTTACGTCGCGTGCACGTGAACAATCATGATAGTCTCGAAAACCCAAGAACTTAATAATTTGTTCTTCTGTCTATTAAAAGTATTATTGGTTTTTTTTTATTTATAGATTAATTTATCGATATTTTATTTTGACTTTATAAATGGATTTTAAAACTCTAGATGTTCAATAACTTTTTTTTATTTGGCTATACAATTGAACATCATTTACTTATGAAATTAATCGACAGTGGTGTGTGTGTGTGGTAACTACTTAAAAATTATACACTGTATAATAATATGTAATTTAAATAATGTATGGGTATGTATTTGACATATCATAGTTTATTCAATACCTATTAAGTACAACACGTTTCACTGTATTTTAAGGCATTCGCATTTTACTCTTCTTGTTTGCATGTTTTAAATTAACGGAAACTATTTTAATACCAAGTATATGCAACCAACTACCTTGTACAAAAAGAACTATTGAATCGAAAAAAAAAACAATCAGCTATACTATTTATTAATGGTACCTAAATGTATATACCATATATAAAGAAAACATCAGAGCTAAAATGTATACAACAACTACTTTTTCTACAATTTCAGTGGCCAATAATAAATAAAAAATAATGAACTTAAATTCCCAGTTTTCATAAAATTTCTCTTCTGTAGTCGTTGTCGATATTTTTATCGATGGATTGTGAAAGAAGATAAAATTTTGCCAAAATAGACTGAATTATGAACGTCGTAGTTTAAATTATTACTAAGTAAGTTAACGCCTTCTTTGTTCTTATTCCGGCAGGCCTACTAGTATCGAGATCGATATTTATTCATATACATTTTAAAAAGAATAGCCAGATTTGATTATCTATATTGAATTAAAATGAAAAACTATAAAATATGTCTCCTCTTTGTATTTATCATAAACATAGTTCTAAATACAGTGTATGTATGTATGAACTTACAAAAATTGACAATTCAAGTGATCTTATGCTCAGTAATTGGATGATTGAAATGAAACAAGTTCGGCTATTTATTCCATAAGCGTGACCAATACTCAGTCGATAGTCGATAGACTATATATCGATTGCAATCACTAGGTGCTCGCAAGCGGGCAGCACTTTTGCGTAATGAACTGTCATTTTACAATGTATTTAAAAAAGACAGACTATAAACTTCAAGGAAATAATACACAGAGTGGATAATACCTCCCACTGAAATTCCAGAATTGTTGTATATAATAGTAGAGTACTAGAATGGTGTATTTAGATGAGCGGTTTTGTATTCAACAATATAAGTCAATTGTTTTACTTTTATATGTAACCATTTCGGAATTTCGGGGAAGGTAACATAAACTCTATATGTATTCCTTGATGTTTAGATAAATATATTTAGCCTATTCCAATCTCTGATAGTTTTCTCTAGTTATATCTCTAGTTAGAGAGCGCAGATATTAGCTCAGAAACCGAATCTTCACTCAATTCACATTACGAAAACACTTTAGCGCTGTGGAGTTAGATTTCTGCTATTGTATCTAGAGCAGCGCACGGGTTTCCTTGGGTGTATTAGCTTCTTTACTCAATTTACCTATCATTACTATCATAGTAAAATGAGACAAGACCTACTCTCGCATATTCGCCCCGTCAATGCTTACGTGAGGCGCACTATAAGTTTCCGGAATGAATAGGACAAAAATACTACAAAACGGCCAGAAATGAATTTATTGTGTCTCAAAATATTCTCCGTAAGCGTAAATGCACTTTTTCATACGAATGAACCAATTTTGAAAACATTTATGCCACTCCTCCGTGACAATCTCTGAAACATATTTTTCATACTCTTCGACAGCCTCTTCAGGTTGACCGCGTAACTGTGATTTTCCTTGACCGCATAACTGGTTCTTAATTTTTGAAAGTAAATAAAAGTCACAAGGTGCCAGATCGGGACTGTACGTGTGATGGCTAAGAAGGTCAACGTTGTTCTGGCCGTGTGAGAACTGGCATTTTCGTGGTGCAAGATGATACGGCATTTAGGGTTGTTTTTATGGAGTTTGTCAATAGCTTCTGGTAAACAAATGGTCGTGCACCATGTGTATTCACGGTACAATGATTCTCCAAAGCAACAGTAGCTACGTGTCCAGTTTTATTAAAAAAAGAAGCAATCATCCGCTTAGAGGCACTTTCCACAAACGCCACTTTGGTTGGTTTCGGCTCATCTCGAAAGACCCATACGCTCGATTGCTGCTTTGTTTTGGTTCGATTTTTTGGATCGTAACTATAAATTCATGTTTCGTCGCCTGTTACTATGTCCCGCACCAAATTTGACGCCCCTTCGTTGAATCCAGTAACCATGGCATTGCACCAAGTGACTCGATCCATTTTTTTAAGCCTCAGTCAAATTGTGTGGGATCCACAGAGAGCACAGCTTTTTCACACCCAAATGTTTGTGTAGTATTGATTGTATTTAACTTATGCGTATGCCTAAAGATCATGGTATGTCACATGCCATGATTAATTCAAACTAGTTGTAATTAGTAGAGGGGGCCTGTATACACATAAGATGATAAACTGATCCAATTCCACACATGAAATCTCAATAGTCCGTCCAATAGAGAGATCTGTGGTATCCTTACGCTCTTTAAATTTTAAATTACGCTTAATAATAATCATTGATCCGCCTGTACTTAAGTTCTTTCTTACGAACGAGTTAAGTATTACATAACATTTTCCACGTTGTTAATTGCTTCGTAGTCTTTCAACCAGTGTTCTGTTACACAAAACTCATCAATGGAAATATCGTTTAAAAAAAGACTTAATTCTAATGTTTTGCCAGAAAAGCCTTGAATGTTTTGATGAACTACACGAAAAAGATTAGACTTTTCTGTTAGATAAGATTCAAAATGCCAAGTAGGTACTACTTTCTACCCTTACACTACTTGTCTTATTACATTATCTGCCGTCCACTAACTATAACGCGGCTAAGTGGCGACCATTTGTCATATCTCCGTTATATCAAATATCAGTTTAAAATAGAAAAAAATAGAATACAACAGTCTGTTTTAAAAACAGACACAAACAAAACAAACAGTTTTAGTTAGCGGACGGCAGTTATGTGAATATGATATAGTTCTCTTTTATGACTGCAAAGTTGTTGATTGACGCGAGTGCTTTTATTGAAACTTGAGAGAAGGAGCCTAAGATTTTAAGGCATGAGACGAAAAACAACTTTACAGCCTAGCGAAACACACAACATTTCACCTCACTATTGCGTGGAAAATGGTAGATGAAAGAAAACGGTAGAACTATAACAAATCAGTTTTATTCATTCATACATCAAAAAGGGTACATTAATAAGTAAGTACTATACTAAAAATTGAAAGTAATATTACTGCATTTGGTAATATTGATAGTAACATTTTTTTTTATCGAAACAAAAAGTTAGATGCTCCACAGTCCTTCGTCAAATTCCACGCTAACGTGGAAAAAGCGCTTTTACCAGATTTCTAATGAGAAACAAAGCCTTTCCGAGCCAGGAAGGTGAAAAATATATTACCATTTTGTGGACTATTATGTTTTGTAACAGATTCCACATGGCTTGTGCAAGGCACTACGATGGAGAATATAAAACATTTAACAGCTACTGCGATATGGAATACGAAAATTGTAACGGATGGAGACGTAAGTAGCAATAAGTTGTACCACATATCTTCACATATTTTATAATTTACTATATCATACTGTACCGTACTTCATAGTTATGAATAGCTCAGGCCTTTTATCTGTGGCAGGAATCATTGAGACGACGCGAAAAAATTTCGATGTGCGATACATTTCCAGACATTGTGTATGATATACTATGACACTATAATAATAATAATAACACAGGAAATGAATTATTGTTTCAGATCTACATAGCATATATTTATTTTTGCAACCAGTTACGTCAAATATTAATGCAAATATTAATGACTTTGCTATCTCAGTCAGCCGTGACCGTGGGACCTGTAAAGGGCCCGAATCGTTGGTTTTTTTATTTAGATCTGAAAGCAAAAGTTTCATTTCCTATGTGTAACAATCCCGAAAACCCAAGAACTCGATAATAATGTTTCATCATTACAATCAATAATTTCAATGCTCAACTAAAGAACATGGAACATACTCTCCAAATAGATGAGGCCATCACACTCTACACAAGTGTAAATATACACCGACACATTAAGCGGAATAAAAAGTAAGAACTTACATTAACATCTTTTAACATTTAATATCGACTTAGTGCAGCCTTAATCAACCTTTATTGAAAAAAAATTAAACAAATCCAAATTAAACAAAGTGCATTTTTTAGATTCGTTGTAAAAGCAGAAACGAAAATTTTAAAAATATAACTGTTTAACACGGACTAAATCAAAGTTTAATACACAAAAACAATTCAACTAAAGCTTACGAAATTTACAAGAATGCAAAATCAACCTCGAACCAATCTGTATTAATAGAAAATTAAAAGTAATTAATAAAAACTAGGAAATTGAAACAAATGAATGAAAACAATGACTTTCGACATTTTTCATTTTCAAATTAGATCCAAGATAAATAACCGGCAAGACTTTAGAAAAAACACTTTTTTATACTATACATTGTAATATTATGCGCGGTAAGGAATAACGAACGATACCTTATTATAAGTCCAAAGTCGAAGACGGGGCTTTCGGAGTCGAGGATCGTAATTCCCGTAACGCCCGTGTTATATACAACGCTTTTCATCACATTTGCGAGGAAATTTTTTATGAACCCATTTGTAATACCTGGTCTGTATAGTAATAATATCAATAACCCTTTCAGAATGGAGTCTTATAAAAAACGGCAGATGTTAATTGCTACTAAAAATGGAACAGGCGTTTTCATGAGTTTTACGAGGAGCACAACCTTTCATTGAAATAATTCTCTACTTGGTTATTACGCACCTCTAGTAATCACTACTATAAATGTGTAGAGAGAGAAGTATAAAGGAATTAACATTCTTACACTAGTGTCACATGTTTATAGTTCATTATTAATTTTATTATTCAAGAAGTGTTTTATGTTCAAGCATGTAATTCGTAACTCTTGTTTTAAATTAATCAGTAGAGGTTTTGATTATTTATTTATAAAGTAGAAGAAGAAGACGCACTTAAGGTTTGAGACGGTGTAGAATGAAAACAAAAAGTGTTAGAAAATCAACAATAACATTGTTTTGTTTAGTAGTTTACTAATCTGACTCTTACCATAGTGACACGCAAAACAATTGTAGGTAATGAATAATGTAGTTATATAAATAGTGAAAAATGGGATTTGCGTAGGTACTCTTAGAGTGGTTACACATGGCGAATTTTTGCAGCGATGCAAACGCGATGCAGCAAATATACAGTTTGATCCAAATGAGTCTCAATTAAAGAAAAGGCTATGAACTGAACAAATAAATATGACAGGGAGTCGGAGGGGTCAAAAAGGGAAAACTAATATACACACAACAACGCTCCGAGAGTCCTCACTCTGTATCGGAGCAGTTACACACGCCGACTTTTAGCAGCGATGCAAATGCAATGCAAACGCGATGCAGTGGCGATGCAGTCGGTAATCTATCTAAATATTTATATTTATATTAATATAAATATAAAGTCTATCTTTACACACACGCACGATTTTAAGCAGCGATGCAAGCGCGCGACAGCATCGATACAAACGCGCACCGTTTGCACCGATTCAATTGCTTATAAATCCCAAGAGTAGCGATCCAATCGCGCGTTTCACGAACACTCGTTTGCATCGTTGCTAAAAGTCGCCACATGTAACCACTCTTACACTGTACTGTGGGTAAGTGTACGTGTATTATGCATCGGTAAGAATACGCAATCCCTTTTTTGATAGGATTTCGTTTATCGGTTGCACACACGAATGCTCCCGATCTCTCGTATCCAGTACAAGCTTCATCACACCACAGATGGTATGATGGTAGGCTCTTTGTAAATCACTTGGCACCCTAGGCACCTCCATATGTTTTTGGTAATGATAGTTTTTTGTATTTTTTATTTCGTTTTTGGTCTTACATTCGAGACACAAAATATAAAATGGTTATACATTATTTGAAAAGAATAGTGAAAACGTAGGCGTGGACCCTTGCAAATACATCTAGTTGCGTTCTATTACACACTTCACCCATTTCAATACAATAAATAATGATTAACGCACATACTCATAGTCCCGCACTAAGAAACCCTGTGATCGCGGGTGCCATGGACACACACAACCACAAATTACAACCAAACTCCCGAGAGAAATAAATTTTGGCCATACAAATATTTCTCTCGACCCGGAAACCGAACCCTCCGCAGATCAGCATGGTAATTAAAGTAAAAAAGCTGTAATTACACTGTGCTACTAGTCTGCAAAAGTGGCATGAATGTGGCGCTGCAGCTGCGCTACTAAATATTATATGAGAGAAAATTGCAGCGCTTCTACAAGCGTGCAATTTGATGCCCTAATGTGATAGTAAGTGTAGGAGTAGTAGGGGAGAAAGCAGAATTAAGGAGATTTTAGAGGGAAAGTTACTTCATTTGATCAGTTAGTCGTTGAGTAGAGATCACGGAGAGTGTGCGATGAAATTAGACGATTTAATTCTGCCTTTCCCTTTCCATCATCGGGGGACTAGGCGTAGGTTTGGCTTCCACCTCTATGTTGTGGATATTCCAAAGATTCGCACGAAGCGTTACGCTTCCGCATTTATATGGCGAACGGCTATAGAGTGGACTTCCCTGCCTGCAGACTTGTTCCCTGAACGTTATAATTAGGACTTTTTCAAGGCGAGAGTGAATAGGCATTATCTAGGTGTGCATGCTCCATCGTCGACCTCATCGCCACTTTCCATCAAATGAGATGGAGGTCAAATGCACGCTTACATTAGAATAAAAAAGAAATTTAAAAAAATTTTGACATATTACTTTTGTTAATTAACTTTGTACACCTAGCTAAAGTAATTGTTTTGTATAAAGTCAATGTGTAGTTGTTTTCAAATATAAGATAAAAAAGAAACAATTGTATGTTTTAAATTCTTGTTATACTGAAGAGAATTGCTTCGAGTTTACATAAGGTACCAGTTATTTACAGTACCTACATAATGTAATTTATTCCAAGAAGAAGAGTTATTTTTACAAGTATATAGTGATAGACATAACATAAATGCGCGTAAATAAAATAAACTGGCTGTTCTTAACAATCGTTTTCACAGTCACAAATTCATTTATAGTCCAATGTGTACACTACTACATAAGATTTCGGCTGATATTCAAATCAAAGTTTGTCTTTTACGGGGCTTAAAACTGAAGTGAAACAAAAACTTTGAACTAAAGGTTATAGCATATTTGAAATAAATATTGTATATGATAAATACGTACGAATGTTTTATTTACAAAGAGTAATCCCTAGAATTTCTTATTATTTTTTCTCAGGCGAATCTGCCTTACGAACGAGTAGCAGAGTTTTATCAATGTGAAATTTTTAAGTGTAATTTCACACACACGCAAGCACACACTCATCCTTTACAAAGGTAACCAATATGTATTGTATTAAAAATTTAATGAAATATAATCTAATATAATATAATAACATAATATACAGATTGACCATAACATGTAAAATTTTCCAAAAACTGTAAAATAAAATTCTCTTTGGTTGGGCGTTATTCTTTTATCAGTAACAATGTTTTTATCGATTACCTGCGAGACAGGCTTTGCCTAGTGCAGGAATCGTAGGAAATTCTCTGTACGCGATGTATGCCACAACTCAGTTGTGTTATCTGGTTGTTGGTTATAATTTAAATTGTAATGTACCTACGTAATTTCATTGTGAATTAATTTTGTAATTTACTTGCCTATGAAATAAAAACATAATTATATAGAAGGAACACACACACACACATACTCCCGTAGCAGAAAGTCATAAAAAAAAGGTTAGCAAAGAAAGGTCTCGAAAGGATTCAGGTTTGAAGTTATTCTACGTTGAATGGTTTCGGATTCTCCCACGGGAAACGATCTCGCCTGAAGTGACCGTATGTACTCTGCTTGCTCAGTGGTACAAATGGCAGCCCGATTTTTCAAGTCGTATATTTTTTAATGCAATGAATTCTTGAATGTGTTTTAGGTATAGTTTATTTATTAAGGTCCCAACTGGGTAACGGTCCCAAAGGGTAGTGAATTCTGAAGAAAAAGCATGAAAAAAGAGCTAAAGTTGTAGAAATGAACGCGTTGTGTAGGTATGTATGTGTGATGTAGGTGACTCTAGACCAATGCAAACGTACGTTCGTAATACACACGATTGCATTGATGCAATTGCTTATAAATCACTGTAGGACAAATGTAAGATGCGCACCCATTGGGACTTGTCGCGGACTCGGCACCGCGCTTGAATCCAACGGGACGAATCCCTTTTACTGGACACATTTGTATTGTAAGCATCTGTACAATAAATCAATTCTTCACCGAATTTCGTCGTTTGATTTCTGGGGCCTTACCACGAACTCTTATTACAGTTCAGTATAGGTTGTAACGATAAAAAAGCGGGATAGTGATATATATATACACTTCGTCTCACAACGAATCATTTTAGGTCCTAAACTGAATCGTAATAAGAGTTCATGGTAAGGCCCCAGGACATGGTAACGGGGACCAGCTAGCCAAACAAACCTCGACTATCCTCTACACCCCTCTGTTACAAGTGTGTATTTGTATTAATGAAATTATGACTACAATATATATTTTCTGCAAATATGTTTGTTGTGGTAGGCTAAAAAATTATTTGTTAAGGTAAATTTGTTTATATTTTCATATTTCTTTTTGTTTCCTATTTAAATATGTACCTTGTCGAGAAACAGTGCATATACCTATGTAAATAAAATAAGCCGACTAATCTCTCGATATCAACGACCTTCGTGGTCGAGTGGCTTACACATCGATCTTCATGGCGTCGTTCTTATCTGAGGTCCTGGGTTCGATTCCCGGCCGGGTCAATGTAGAAATCTAACTTTTGCATGGGTCTGGGTATTTGTAGTGCCGTCGTTGTTTCTGATTTCCATATTTTTTTTAATATTTGTCTAATATTAAAACTAATTATATCTAATCGACGACCTCAGTGGCACAATGGTTTACGTTTGGGCGCTGGATGCAGAGGTCCCGGGAGTGATTCCCGGTAGGACCAATTTGGGAAATAAAATTTTATAAAGTGGTCTGGTCTGGGTGTTCAGTGTAATGCCCCGGAGTGAATTCCCTTGCTCTGGTGCTTATAGTAAAGGGAATTCCCTAGTTTGAGACCAGGTTTTAATTGGTGTTGTCGGGCATAATAAAAAAAATTTGAACGACAATGAATGCTAGGGACGAAATATATAATACTCTATCCCACCAAAGTATAGCCTTCTGTTTGAAACAGTACACGCTTCGTTTTTTATTTGATTTATGCTATTGGATCAGTGAACGTTCTAATATAAAATAGATTCGGGATAAGTACCTAATGTATTTATAATATGGGATTAAATACAAAGAAACAGCAAAATGGCTGTAACTAAAATTGGACACTGGATTCCTACGTACATGCACTAAGAGGTGCATAAACACACACACACACACACACACACACACACACACACACACACACACACACACACACACACACACACACACACACACACAATTTAAATAAATTTTCAAATATTAAAATTTAGACATCTTTATCGAAGCTGGTATACGTAATAATAGTAATTAATTAAGTTCGACTCCAGGAACCAGAAACCTAAGATACATAATATTATCTTGATCGAGTCTAGATTCCTATAAATTTTGTCGCTTTAGGAAAAAAGTTATCGTTGTGTGCTGGCAATCCTAAAGCAGTTTTTTTCGTCTACAGATGTCCAGGCCGAATCTGAAAAGTAAATAAGTTTTATTAGTAACATTACGCGTTCCGTTCTGAAGTGTTAAGAGTGTTGAAATTACAGGTGCATTGGACTTGTCAGCTTTTGTCTCAGGGTGGAGGGCGGAGTAGCAAGTGGAGGTCCGTAGTCTCTGCCTACCACGGTGGGAGACAGGCGTGATGATATGTATGTATGAAAATGTATTTAGTGTCAGTTTTAATGTTAAGTAAAATCAGTGTTTAATTAACATTTTTCAAATAAAAAAAAAATCCGGTACCAATATCTCGAAAGTTGCTAAATTGTTAGCGTTAGCTATGACAAGAAAGGGAAAAATTGTATCCTTGCAATTTTCAGTTATAAAGAATAAGCGGTTTAAATTACTAATGGATTTCTTTTCACCGTTGAGAAATCACCAGTATTATTGGACCTTTTTGTAACACCCGCTGTGGCAAAACGAGTTAAGTCACTCGTGTGATTTGTTGGGCAAGTACATGAAAGAGACCTCCACAAATCTTACCTGACCCAGACCTGCAGTTTTCGTAGAACATTTGACATAAGTTTGAAAAAACTCTTTTTTGGCCATTTTTTATGTTGACTCCACATAATGGCTGTTTTCTAAAAGCAACCACAAATCAATAGAAAGAAAGTATATTACATAAATTCGTACCCTTGGTATAAATAAAGGCGTATGTGATCTTGTGTCAAAAGTGCTATTATTACATGAAAATTTTAAAAATAACACGAACTATATTAAACAAATTACGTATGTTTGTTTTCTAGCAGTAGAGCTCCTAGAGAAAGAGTTCGTCCAGGGAAGTACTGCCCAGTACTAACCTATTTCTGCCGCCAAGCATTAATGTCAGCAAAACTGTGTTCCGGTTTTGAAGGGTAAGGGTGCTGGTGAAATTACAGATACTTGTCAACTCATGTCTCAAGGTGACGGGCGCAGTGGCAGTGCCCTTACGAGCTTTGTGATTTAAAGCTTTGAATGGCACTGCAACAGTTACGGATGGGCGTGTCGTTCGTTTCGTTCGTCCCGCCACTTCGTATCATAAGAAATATGTCAAATTATTTATGACTCTCCTATTTAAGCATAAATAAGTTATCGAATAATTCCCTTCGAAGAATCTTTAAACCTCTCCTGGGAAGTTGTCATTTTGCGGATGTCATCTATTACACTAAGGGTGGGAATTAGTTACAATGCAATTATTATTGACGTCTATTTGCCAAATTGAACTTAAAAGACAGCTGTGACAAGGGCATTATTCATTTTACATCTCGCAAGTTTCACGAATTGCTGTGTGAATTTTAACAATAATGTAAAGTGCCTCTATCACGGGTTGACTGTGACAGTTGTCACTAGCGACCGCGTCAATTACTTCACAATTTTGTAAAAATTTAAAATTATATAATGCCCCGTAAATTGGAATGTTCTTTGTAAAACTAAAAATAAGGTATTTCATTAATGGCTTTTGTAACTATAGTGAAAAAATAGAGTGGTTTGCATTAATATTACACATAACTGGTTGATGACTTTACCACCTCAGTCAACCGTGACCATGGGACCTGTAAAGGGCCCGAAACGTTGGTTTGTTTGAAAAAACAAATATATGCGATGTAAATCCGGAAAAATAGTTTCGTTTCCTAGTTTATACTTTTATCTAAGGTTTTTTTAACTTTTATTTAAGGTTTTTTTAGCCCTGTACCTACTCGATTACTACACTTATTTTGTTTTTTAAATACATGTCCTCCAATTAACTGCCTCCGTGGCCGAACGGTTATCATGCCGAACTATCCGGTCCATGCCGAGGTCCCGAGTTCGATTTCCGGGCCGGAAGAAATATTTGTACGGCCTACATATTTCTAAGAAATAAACGTGTGACAACCTATATTTTGGAATTATTAGAAAATAAACAGTGAAAAAGAAATAGAAATTTTATACACATTGATGACGAAATGGGTATGTCCATGTTAAGAAAACGGTCAGAGAAGGTATAATTACCATCGCCATAGGTTTTCAAAGCGCACATCCATAAACCACGAAAAATTTGGAATTCACTATTGCATGAATCGCGAGCTATAAGCCCGTGTCGCGGCACTCGAATTGTGTGTATGTAGGAGTGTCGGCGTATTCGCTAGCAATTTACATAAATGTCTAAGTACCGTAATTTTGGTTTTAAAATTTTAAAATCCCCGTTTCCCTATTTGTAAATTACATTTTTCTACAAAATTTGTTGTCGCTTATTGAAATAAAAGAGCCTTCATGTATTACAATATTCGAGTATTTTCCATCACTTCTAGTTTTTGATATTTTTATTAAGAAAATGGTGTTATTACCGTAGGTTGTCTAATTATTGTATTATGAAAATATTAAGAGTTTTAAATATTACACTCGATTTCGCGTCAATATAAAGTATATACAAATATATTATGATACAAACTAGACTTCTAAATAATTAGATCTTATAATCAAACCAATTATCAACGTTTTTTAATGCAATGGGAAAGCAGAATGTAGGAAATTTTAGACAGAAAGATATTTGTGGCACATCTCACAAACACTTAAAAATAATCCGGATTATGATTAATCACCGTTATTACAAAAAAAGTGTAATAATTTATATTTTAATTATTTCTGCCGATAAAATCTTTCAGCTTAAATATTAAAAAATGTTTTGTTTCGGTATAATTAATTACGAATAGAGTAGAAAATATTTGAATTATCTTACTACCGCAGCCATGGAAAAATAACAATTTCTAATTACCGTTTCCATAAAATATTTGTGTCTTAATAACACTAAAACGACTTTATCTATTTTAATGCCATTTAGCTTAAAGTTTTGTTAACAATTTAGCTTAAAGTTGTTCACATTTCTATGTTATTAGTCATAATAACAGAGAAAAAAAATGGCTACGGTAATTAGGCTGAGTACACCGAATGTGAGAATGACCGATATAAAGCTAAGAAAAAATTGTACTTAGCATAGTAATTAAAAATTGTAATATAGATTACGTGTAATATAGAGTAAGCCTCTGCAGCCAGCATTTGGGTTTAACTTGTATGTAAGCATACAGCACCTTATCCCGTGGATAACCTTTAGCCTATGAAACTGGATCAATGTGTACAAGTAGTTAAAAAATGTGTAAGATTTGCAGAGTAAAAATAATATTAAAAACAAAATAATTAACGAAAAAAAATTAGGTCTTTGGGTTTATGTGTACGCGTGTGTGCGTCGCTCTCTTTGTGTGGACGTACTTACGCTTTCACATACATACAGCTACTAAATTCTTCCATGCATTCTTTTAGATGATAATTGACATCGTCATCGCCATTCGGGTCGTAAGAATCTAATGTCGTGAACAACGACTGTAACTCAGGGGGCATGGGGCGTCCATTATATACAGGGGACACCTGGTCATCGTAAGCATCGTAACTGTTGTGTTTGTTCGGATTTCGAAATCCATTGTCACCAATAACACGTCGAAAATTGCCTTGTGCTGCCATTATTAGAACTGTTTGAGCAGGCATAAAATTTATTATAACTTTTTCTATGAAAAAAAAGGCATGTAAAGTTTATAGAATTACAAGTATATGCTTAATTGAAATCATTTCACGGATAGTGGGTGAAATCCAATAAACCAGATTCATCCCTTTAATATGGCACCCTTATTGGTAGAATGTTTTCTTCAAATTTAAAGGGAACCACAAATGAGGTATCCTCTTTCCAACAAAAAAAAAGAATCAACGAAATCGGTTCACAAAATATGTCAGAGTAATCGTGTAACTAAAAATTCGAAAACACTTACTGTTTAATTTAAAAAAAACGGTACAAAACAGGGTGGGCTGATTTTTTTGATGACCCGTGTACATACAAAAAAATACAGTCAAGTTGAGAACATCCGCCTTTTTTAAAGTCAGTTGAAAACAAAACCCGTTCCTTTTTAAATTAGAAAGGAATAACTACAAGTGTGTAATTACCGAAAAATAATAAGAAAATTACGTTATAAGCTAAATTACAAAAAGTGGCAACGATTACAATTCAATATACATTTACGTGTACAAATAATGATCAAATAGATTCGTTTTGGGTATCAGTACTTATAAATACCGGCACGAATAAACAATTGCGTACAGCGGTACCGACGACGTTGTAAACATTTCACGGCTTCATCTCCACAAAGTCTTCAGATGTTGCGAAGTACATACGGGTGAAAGCCAATGATACCCTGAGGGGCGAGCGGTTGGGGTTCCATCACCATGTGAATTTTAATTCGATTGTGGTGAGAGTGCCAACGCAACATCTGTCGACCTTCATGAAGGAGAAGTTTTGGTTGAAGGATGTCATCACGTTGCGTCACACATCGTAGTCCATACGTGTAAATAGTTTATAAGGTATGTATTTATTGGTCAATGTAACCTGACTTTAAATAAATAAATAAAAATAAAGTAAATATACATAAAAACAATCAATCAATGTACTTACACGTAATACATAAACTCTGCAATTGTACTAAAAATTTTACAATCATGGCTATAAAATATTTCAGATATCACACCATGTTTTTCACTATAAAGAAGAATCTTTATTTAGATTCTTTTATGTCTTACAAATTCTTTAAATTCTCAGTGAAGTGTTGCAAAGAAAGTTCAATTTTCAAGAAAAGATTTATACTTTTTATTTAGCAGTTATTTATCAAGCGTTCGCAATTTTTCACATCATAAAATTATAATTAGATTTTCATATCGTTGCTCTCACATATTGCTGATTTTGCGATAATATCTTCTTGTGATTAAGAGCCTATGCACACGGCGTATTTTATAACCGCCGACCACACGCGTACACCCCGCAGACCCGCTGTAGTCGCGCGTATGTATCGAGCTTATGATAAAAGATTAATGTTACTTTTGTTTTTAATTTCAGTTAGTTTTTTTAAATGAAGCAACTATATGAAATTCTAAGTGTAAACTCCAGTGGAGTTTGCGTAGGCTCTTAGTGTTGATAGAAAATTTACAAAATGAGACGACAGAGTTTTAGTTTGTTAATATTTTTATTCTTTTCCCTTACTCCTCATTTTTAGTCTTTAACGGGAGTACTCAGAGAAACTTTTTGAAGGTCATCCACGCCTCGAACCAGCAACATGTGGAATAAGTAATAGATTCATGCGTGACATAGAAATGGAAGTAATTTTTTTAATTTGCCATTTTGCGAACCCAGTGAAGGTTAAATTGTGCAAAATAGCTGATGGAGGGTACGAAAAGTAATTGCATGAAAAAGAAATTTTACACACGCGCTGCGCAGCTATTTTCCATGATATAGTCTTCACTGTAATGTACGTCCATTTTAATTAGTTATGGAACAGTTTCTCTCTTGAAGTATTTCCATTGCGTTATGTTACAACATAGGGTTCTTCATAAGGCGAGTCAAGGCTATCAAAGGCCAGCAACGCATAAGCAGCCTGATATTGCAGATGTATACGACGATGACCAGCGCTCGTCAAGTGGCTCGTCGGCTAGTATGCCTCCTACTTTGCAATTACATTTTTATTGAATTGAATATCAATTCAATCAAAACAAATTAAAAATACAGCGAATAGCGACATCTCTCGTCAGGACTGGTAACTGTAAATGTACTAACTGGGTGATAAATCTTTCATAGATTTCTCATAGCTGGCGCTGCGACTACAAAGTCGTTGAAAAAAACCAAATACAAAGACACGACGCAAGCACACAGATAAATTCGTGAGGTCCGCTGGTTCGCTCCGTAGCTTAGTTGGTATAGCGTCTGCCACGGTAAGCTAGAAGACGTCGGTTCGAATCCGGCCGGATCGAAGGAATTTTTTCTGAGTGTTCGATCTTTGTATTAATAATTATAAGAAAAATATTCTGTTCAATATTCTGGCTGATTGTATCTAGTAAAGTTTTGCAAAATTGTCTCAACTCGTGTGCACCACGCAAGGGCAGTAACCTCGCCACCCGCTTCATTGAGCGATACGTAATCTTTCTCGATCGCTTATTTACCTATTTTTTTAATTATGAATGTGTACTAGTATTGTTATAATTTACTATTTATTTGCATTAATTCGAAAAGTTGACAGAAAAAAGTTTTTTGTATTTGGTACTTACCAACTTTAGGTTACATGAAAGTATTGCTAGAAGCACCTAGCTCAGAGATTCGCACGTGAGTTTCGTTTCAACATTAGACTCCACAACTTTGAAAGCAGAAACTTCGACACTCGTATCCTCCGCGTAAACTAAACGTTTCACATCATGCCATAAGGATAGACAAGCATTGTATTGCCATGCAGGTTCTGGTGAACCTGACAGCGGTTCTTTTTTGCTCTACTAACTCTTGTTTACATACCAAACCACGTGGCATTTCGTGACAGACTAGAGTAGAGTACGGGAAGTAAGGTCGACTGATCTACCAATCGCGCGGTCGATATGACGGTTCCCCGCTCTCCCTAGCTGCACCCTACCACCAAATAGATCTAAAATACGTTTCTTTCTGCGCATTTAAGGTCATTGTTCAAAATGTTTGCAAGTGCCGTGCAAGTCAATGACCTTTAGATCAAATTTGTTTACCGCAATTAAATAAAAAATAGAAATTTACGAATTGTTTTTTTCGATTTCTTTTTTTAGTGTTTTGAGATCAGTTTCGGATATACCTCTGTAAGCATGGCGAGAACGCAAATCAACACATTGTATTATAGTACATACTAAACTTGTTAGATTTAAGTAAATAAATTATTATTGTTGTTTTCATTGATGAAACAGATTTATAAGGCAAGTGTGAGCGGGCAAGTTGGTATGGGCTGACCGAACTTACCATGACCAAATTGAGGACATCCTAAAGAAGGGCCAGGTCGAGAGTACCCTTAACCGACGAGCATGTACGCAAGCACTGATGCGTGTTGATGAGGCCAAAGATGTGTGTCAGGACCGTAGCAAGTGGACGACTGTTGTCTCTGTCTACCCCGATGGATAAAAGGCGTGAGGTATAAAAAGGTATATATCTTATTTTTATCACACATGTCCATACACAATGGTTTGTAGGTTCCTACACTGACGTTTGGTAGTGAGAGTTGGGTATGGTAGAAGAAGCATGGAAGTAGGTTTAATGTAATGGAGAAGAAGATCTTTGAGGAAAATTTGTAGAATAAAGTTGAGTAATAGAATGAAGAATACAATGATACGCGAAAGATGCGGCTTGAAAGAGAATGTGGTGACTAGAAAAGAGAAAGGAATGTTGAGGTGGTTTGGGCATGTAGAGTGGATGGATGTAAGAAGAATTACCAAACAGATTTATGATCAAATCAAATCAAATCAAATCAAATCAAATCATTTATTTCTTTGTGATACACAGGTTATAAAGTTGTTACAAGAATGAATTTTGAATCACTGTGATCCGCCTTATGGCATACAAAGTTTTTTTAGTTTTAGTAATTCTCATGCAATAATTTGTAATAATATTATAATCATGCAATCCAATTAATGCAACCTAATACTAATGAAACATAATAACAATAGTAAAATAATCAATAACAAATTTAATAATATGAAATGTAAATTTTATAAGAAATCTTCAATATTATAGAATGTCCTATCACTTAGGAAATTAATAATAATTTCTTAAATTCTGCACAATCGTTGCAATTCCTAATTTCAAGTGGAAGTTTGTTATATACCTTCGTAGCCATTACTATTACACTCTTTTGAAGTAGAGCAGTTTTACATGATCTACTTTTCAGTTGATGAGAACCGCAGGCTCGTGTGACGAATTCAAATAAATGAAGATGACGATTTACGAAAAGTGAAATTTCAAATATATATAAGCATGGTAGAGTCAGTATTTTCAAATTTTTAAAATGTGGTTGACAGCTATCTGTTTTTTTCAAGCCGCATATAGCCCGAATACATTTCTTTTGGGCTTTGAATATGTGTTCAATGTGGGGTGCATTTCCCCAAAAAATGATTCCATATCTAAGGTTGGTTGCTACATAACCATGGTAGGCGGCCACTAGAGCGTTTAAATTTACTATTTTTGATATCCTAAACAATGCATAAAACACTTTAGTATCTTACCACGTACATATTCTAGGTGTGTTTGCCATTTTAGATTATTACCTATATATAAACCTAAGAACTTTACTGTCATTGTTTCACCGACCTCTTTGCTTTCATAGACCACTCTAGTTTGCATAGGTTTATTGTATCTTTGTTTAAAGTTCATAACTTTAGTTTTGTCAAGATTTATAACTAGATCATTATATTTAAGCCATTCAATAATAGAGTTCAAACTTGTATTTATATTTGTTTCATTGTCATAAATTACCGTACAATCATCCGCAAACAATATCATAGGGTCGTTAATTGATTTAGGAATGTCATTTATGTATATTAAGAATAGCAATGGTCCCAATACGCTACCTTGAGGTACTCCTTGACTTACTATTCTATGATGCGTATATGGTTGGAAGGGTTTTAAGAGAACATCTCAGAAGGACATCTTACATTGACCAGATGATCAGTGATGTTCTCAAAAAGGCTGGGATCCGAAGTGACAAGAATAAAAGAAATTGTATGAAAAGGGTAGTTGATGTATGTGAGGTTCGAGAGTTGTGTCAGGATTAAAGTAAAGTGGCGTTCCGTGGTCTCTGCCTACCCCTCCTATAGGGCAATGGTGTGAGCTTATGTATGTATGTACGTGTTATTTTCATGTAGGCAATAATTATTAAATAATTTTGATCAGATTTCGCGATTTAAGACCCCATCTAATTAACTTTGTGTAGTCTCCGCTCTTACAAAATAGCGTATTGGTGTTTGGGTCGCCTACGCAACACCACGTGCCTTCGGGTTAATTCAACTGCCTCCGTGGTCGAACGGTTACTAAACCGGACTGCTACGCAGAGGTCCCCGGGTACGATTCCCGAGCCGAGAGAAATATTTGTCTGGCCTACATTTATTTCTCTCGTTACTTTGGGTGTAATTTGTGTTGTCTATGTGTGTATCCATGGCACCCGCGACACAGCGTTTCCCTAGTGCGGGGCTATGTTGAGTGTGTGCGTCATTATTTATTTATTTATTTCATTATTTAATAAATGGTCGAACACTGACAGATCCCTTCCACACCCGCACATGTGATGTATGCGCTCGAGACAAATCAAAGACAATCCACATACACTACAATTAGCATACACAATAAATTAAGTTTATAATGCGTGTTAAGTTTATAATGAATACCTACTTCAAAAATGTGATTTTGCAAATCGTTACAGTTTAATTTATAATTGAAAATATTGAAAGTATATTCGGTATCATTGAACTTAGCAAATGTCTACGTACTCACAAACTTTTAAAGTTACCAATTTTAGCATGCCAATTTTGCTGTTGCAACGAAGTTAGCCGTAAGACTTTCTCCCAGCTACGAGTTGCAATGGTCAGTATAGAAATCCTTGAACCGTCTCAGGAGACAAGATGGTCAATATATGGCCGGTTTTCCTTACAAATTCTTACCTGTTGTGTAAGATACCAGCAACAATAAAAATAGTTCACTAACCTTTCGTTGGAAATAATCAGCAACGATATTCAGTTATCTACGATAACAATAACAACTTCCTATGTACGGAATGAAACGGTAGCATCAATTAGTGCGAGAATACTCGCGACAGTGCCTTGAGGCACTCGCAGGTGTTCAGTCGCTTAGTTTAAATCTTACATAACAAGTGTACCTAATTGATAAATTACAAGGATGACTTGGATGTTGTTTTTAATTCGCTTATTTGTAAAGCAGATGAAAAAAAAGAAGAACAGAAAAGGAAAAGAGATATTTGTTTTCATTATTTATGGAAGAAAGGATACTTTTTGCCATAGAGTATCACTTATTTGACAGCAATTCTTTCGGACGGATGTCAGACGAAGAACGGGAGTAGCCCCTATTTTTGTAGATGCTTTACGCTGCGCATCCCTTAGTGAAGACGCGTGACCTGTGTTATAGGCTCGTTTCTAGTTTGTATACTTACTTATTTAGGCACTTCGCTGCCTTAGCGACCCGAAGTGGGTCTTGGCCTCCGACACCAAAGTACGCCATTTCTGTCGGTGTTATGCCAATTCCGACTATTCGGACACCTTCAGTTCCTTTAGGTCTTAGGTGACTTCATCCTTCTAGCGACATCTTAGACGGCCCACTGTATATACCCATAGGTTGTCTCAAATACGCTCTTTTGGCAGCTCGATCCTCTTCCATTCTTTCCACATGTCCTAGCCAGCGAAGTCGAGCAGATTTTATTTCCCCGATTACTAGTTCTTCTATCTCTCTATTGAATCTGGCCCTCCAGTTTCCAAATTCTCCTTTGATTGGTCCCAGAATATTTCGAAGTATCTTCCGTTCCGCCACTATTAATACATGAAGGTTGGATTAATTACAATAAAACAGTAATTAGGCCAGTTTTTTATTATAAAGTTCATTATGTTACCTATAATTTTGTTATAAAATTCGCTTAAGATTTAATACTTTGAGCAAATAAGTAAATGAGCCAGCCAATTTATTTAAAGTTTTTATTTTAGACAATTTCTTTAATTACAAAAATTACATCTAATTCATTACATTAAAATTTTCTATATTAGCACTTTACGTTTCGGGCTCTGAAACGTATAGTACAATATATGTATATAATTAATTAGGTACTATCTACGTAAGTAAGCTTTACATAAATTAATATTTACAAGTAATAATTACAATCAAAAATATAATTTACAAAACAAAAAAACTTTACATTTCATTATTTTACAATTATTTTATATTTACGACAATTCTTTGGTTCAATATCTTAATACCTATCATAATTTTGTTCTATATATAAATAACAAATACAACATTTCAATCGATATCAGATTTCTATAATGTTACTTATAAATAAATAAATACAAGGTATCTGATAGTCTAAATAAATTAGTTTAGAAACCTTACACACTTACGGTAAATATGATTACACAATAAACTACCAGTTAACACTGCATTTAAAACACAGAAAAGTCACCCAATGAAGAAATTCAAAGGCTTTGCAACTCCAAATTCACTTCATGCTATTTGAAACAAGACTTTAGTCAGAAAATCTGAGAACATTGCGACGTTTTTATGTTAGCTGTTACTGTGTGTTCCAGTTGCGCCAAAGCAGTCACTTCTGTATCCATCTTTCTGCCTTTAGCTCTTGCACTCTTCCTTAACTGGGAATTTTTGCGACAACACAAAATTTCTTCAAACTCTTTACGGAAATTATCATTTAACCAACCGTAAAGAAGCGGATTAGATACAGCACTTGACATTCCAAACATATGGCATATAGCATATGTTACTGTCACGGAATCTTCATCGAATAAAGGTTCCGTACTCATGTCTGCTACTAAGTTGAACACATTTAGCGGCAGCCAACTTACAACGTATGTAACAGCAATGGCTATGAGGATAGCTGGTGTTTTTCTTGTAGCCCTCCGCCTTCCTCTTAATCTTCTGTGTATTTGTATATGGGCTACAACTACTACTAACACTGGTAGTAAGTATTGAAAGATAAGACTGAATATCGAATAAATAGCTCGACCATTCGCAATAGGCCAGTCTTCTATACAGAAGCTCAAGGATTCCATGCCTTCTAAACCAAGTTGGTGCGTTTTGAGACTTCTAAAGATGTAGAGAGGTGATGCTAAGGCGAATGCTGTGATCCATATTATTAACATTGTAGTTAAGGCTCCCATTGTCTGAAGACTAGGTCGAGTAGGGTACACGATGAGCTGTGAACAAAATAAAATATGTCAATTGCATACTACCACTTCTTGGAAATCTAAAGATACTGAGAGAGAATAAGTACTGCCAATAAATGAAATTGGACGACTCCGATAGGAAATCGGTAATGCCAATAACAAGGAAGAAAGAAAAAGGAAAGGAAGCCCTTGCCCAATGGAAGGACGGTACAGCCTAACAAAAAATAGAATGTAATTTGCCTTTGAAATGAAGATTTAAAATAGGTTAACGTCAATTAAAATGGAGGAGTCTTGCGGCTCTTAGATGTATTCCTGTAATAAGGGTTAATTACTGATTAATTAATAAAGAAAAAGCGAAGTAATATTTCTTTGTGTTTGTCAACATATGAATATCATGGTAGTAAAAACTTCGTGATATACAATAAATATAAATATATCGATATCTCTGTTAGTCTTCTGGTAGCTTTAAAAGTACTTGGCAGAGTGAAAAAGCTTTCATAAGTTCTCACTGTTGGCGACACGGCTGAAAAGCCGTTTAAGCCCAATACAAAGATCCAAAAAGGGCTCATGGATAATTTCGAAAGATCTGCAGGCTCGATACGTAGGTCAGTTGGCGAGAGCGGTGGCCACGTTGAGGCTACAAAATTTGGTTTGAGTCCAGTCGGATCGAAGAAATTTGTATTGTTTTTTATTTTTGTATCAATAATAATAATGGAAAATAGATAAATATGATGATAGACAAAACATCACGATATTCAATAAAAATAAATAGAGAAAAAGCTCTCTATAATTCAACGATGTACTCTTTTAAAACATTACTCTAAAGCCTAACCTAACTCGTATTATAAACCACCATATTATCGTATTTATTAAGTGGCTATATCTCCATAGTGCTTAGATATACGGTTCATTATATACCTCTCCACTGATAAAACAGATAATGGAGTTATTGCAATCAATATAGCTAACGGTATTTAATCCATGCACTTTTGATAGCAGTTTTCGTGTAACCTAACGTAAGTGATATTGATTACAGTATGATAAATTTCTGTGAACTACGTGTTAAAAATTAAGATAGTGTTTGAACGAAATACAATGGTAGAGAGAAATGTTTTTTCTCGAACTTTCCTCACTCAAAGTTGGTTACCCCTCTCAACTAAATTAGCAAGCATCAAGCCCATATTTCAACACCGGCAAACACCTATTTATCTATTTAGACATCTCTCTGCCACTTAGTCAAAATAATGAAATATTAGTATTATGTTTGCCAAAACACATCTATTCTCAGTTTCGCTTTGGTAAATTATGGTCTTACGATACCATTTCAAGAGAAAAGTCTTATACTTTGTCACTAGAGTATCTTACTCCGGAGTAAGCACCGGTGCCGCTTCCTAAGTTTAGGAATAAGTAGGAATAAGTAGGAATGAGATATCATGAGATATCATCACAACTGTTTTTTTCATGATCCTAATCCAAACTTTTGGTGTGCATTATTATCAAAACCGCTAGCCAAGTAATATAAAAACGTCCACGTTGAGGGTTTCCTTATTCAAGTAAAAAATCAGTCGAAGGAGGCCAACTGTTCTTTCATTATAATTATAAAGCTTAAAATTAAAAAAAAAAACCGATACAAAATAGCGTATACTTCAAAAAGTCAATAAAATCACCATCTGTAATCCTTGGTCAGCCCAAATACGATAGTTCTACTGTTAGTAGTTCAGGGGTTGGGTATCAAAGTTTACAGTACTGTAATGTCATTGGATTAATATAGTATGCCAAAATTTCAAGTCGGTGGGACAAATGGAAGTAAAATAAATATTAATTTTATGACTTAGGTACTTTTTTTATAATATCTAGTGACAGGACGAACAAGTCGTGCGCCTGAAGGTATGCTACACACTGTCCATAACAGTTGCAGTGCTATTCTGAGCTTTAAATAGCAAAGATTTGATGGGTACTGCCACTGTGCCCGTCCCCTGAGTTATAAAGGTCAAGTTAAATGTGCCTGTAATTTCACCAACTCCCTTACCCTTCAAAACCGGCACACAGTAATGCTGACATTACTGCTTGGCGGCAGAAATAGGTAAAATGGCGGTACTACTCTGGACGAACTCTTTCACAAGGAGCTCTACTGCTACTGAGAAAAGAGTTGATGATCTTTAAACTGCTGAACATGTTATATGCTCATCAAACAAAGAACCATCCCGATTAAAGGCTGATTCATGGTACACCGCGCCGGGGGCGAGTCGTGCTCCGGTCGTGCGCCGGTCGCGACACGGTCAAATATCTACATAGCTTTTGTATGAATTTCAAGTTAGACCGGGTCAAGTCCCGGTCTAACATGGAATTTTTCCCTGGTTCCATCCTTGCCTGATCGCGACACGTCGTAACATGAATGCATTCGCGGGGCACCGGGAGGGTAGTCAACGTTGGACTATTGTGTAATGGACTCATCATCTATTAAATCTTTGTAGAGCGTGGCAAATTCTCCTTTGGTTCCTCTTTTTCTGCAGGCAGGATGTACACACCATCTTCTTTTTCTAATTTGAATTTGTGTTTCCAATACTTTGTCTTCAAGAGCTATTGCAATAGCTGCCAACTCAAGTTGTGAAATTTGCATTAATAACACAACTTTTATCACATGGAAAAAACAAATAAAAACCACTACACCAACTACACTATAGTCCAACGTTGACTACTCTCTGGGTGCCCGGCGAATGACATATTAGGACGTGTATGTAAATATAAATTCACATTATGACATGTCGCAGCAATCTGGGTTAGAACCGGGAAAAATACTCAATGCCGCCGTGCCCCAACCCGAACACAACCTTAACCACAGGTCTTAAGCCCAGAAGTATATAAACATTTTACCTTGTTTCTTACTGTGAATAAATCTTGACATTAAAGTTCTTTTCTTTTGAATCCTATTATAATCAAAACCTTTGGAGTAAGAGTCGATTTTTTACGAGCATAATAATGCAAGCGGAAATTAACGAAATGATAAAGAATGAGAATGTTCTAATGAGAATTGTAGAGGATCATTTGGAAAATACGTTTTAGAATTAAAGAACAAAACGATTTCCTAAATTCAGAGGTTATATTCATAATATTTTGAGATAGCTAAAGGTCTACGGTCTTGACAATAGAGGTGGGTGATAAATAACGTCACGATGAAAAAATCACAGTGATCAGCCGTCAAATAGTATCACCGTAAGTTTTTACGAAGGAACGACGTTTCGAAATCACACAGGCAGTTTCTCCGTTCCACTGTCTCTGTCGCTCACATCACAACATACGACGTATTTTGTTGTAAATACATACAAAATTATGTGCGAGCTCCTTTCTCTAGAGACTGGCGACTGCGCTACTCAATGTAGTTTGCTTTCATTTTTTAATATTCTAATTATGAACCAAGAAATAATTACATCAGTGTAAATACCGTGTAAATGTTGTAAATTTAAATAAGGTAATTGTACAAAATTGGTCCGAAATAATAAACATACCGTATGTCTTATTAATGAATAATGCGACAAACCTGCAAAACTGTGAAGGTTATTGCAGATCAATTTTCCAAATGAAATTAAACGTTACACCAATGTGATTATCCGCTCACGCGATACATGCAGCCGTAGACGCATTCCACACCTTGAGGTGCCGGTGATGATTTTATACCGACTTATCGGATATCGAAGTTATAACAGGTAAAAGAACTAATATTAATTTCTATTTCGGTAACTACTCTAGCAAACCATAAACTTTTTAATGCCTGGGTCTGTCATTAAAAAAAAATAAACAACTTCAAAAATACGTCACGACAATCGTGTGTGTTATTGTTTAGGCTGGTGATTTCGGTGTTTATTTATTGAAAACATACCGTAAGTAGCGTTTTTTAAGTTTACCCTGAATATAAATGTTTATAAACTATACTTTAAGGAGTAATTTCATGGTAAATGTTAGAACCACTCAAACGGAATATTATCATATTTATCCAAGTACACCAAAAATTTCATTAGTGCTTTTTAAGTGCAGGATTTGCGGTGTATTACTGCATTTTATTTGAGATGTTTTTGCTGGTAGTACGGAGGGTATTTATTTAGCAATGCAGTATAATAATTTTTATTTATAAAAACTTGTATTTAAACTGAATGCTTTTCTAATTTGCGAAACCAAATAGCCGCCATTTTGCGGTAGGAAGAGCGCATCGCGTGAGCGGTTATTAATAACGATTAATAAAAAGTAACCATATATCGTGATGTAAGTGACAGGCGTGACAAAATCACGGTGATTTGTCACTGTGATTTTTTTGTAACTGGAACGATAGTCACGACGTTAGAAATGTAACACTTTTTCCATAGTCAACTTTACACCTGTACAGTATACTAAAGAGTTTAAAAGCGAGTCATTCCGCAACATCTAATATATTCAGTCTCCGCCTGTGTTCTCTGTCGAACATTGTCGAAACATGGATGACTTCGTAACTATTAAGTAATCTGTGACATGAGTACTAATAACTGATACCAGACGACTACGGATCACTATATTCCACTACCAACCAGCAACAAGACGACTTCTTTAGCAAGAAAGGTCGATCCTAGAATGTTCTTTCCGTTGCCATTAAGGACCGTTTACACGTGACCAATCGACGAGCCATTCGATTATGGAGTGACTCCAGGCCAGTGATAAAGACAATATACTAAATAAGAACGATGTCTAATTTTTCGACCGAATACCTTCCCACACCACATGTGCATTGAACTGGTTCATGTAATGACCTTGTGTGAACGTGCTTCATGAGCCAGTCCATTACTATGCTTTTGCCATTTAGTAAAGAACCTTGAAGAAACTTACACAACAACTTACAGTCGTAATACAGGGTTACGTGTAGTTGGACTTTGTGATATACGCACTTTTCACTAGACTGGCTTAATGGCTTGCTTTGTGGAATGGCTCGTCGATTGGCGCCGTGTAAGTGGCCATTATATTATAAGTACATCAAATAACTTTTATTTCACAGGTAAGCAAATCACACTTAAAATTGTCATATTGGTTAAACTCTACTGCTCGTTCGTAAGGCCTAGGCCTAGGTCGTAGACCTAGGTCCTCTGATAATGAGCTGAGAAACTCTGCTTATAATATAAATAATGTTAATTTGCAAAGAGGCTAGCTCTTTGCAAATGAAAATTTTCTAACATCATACTATTGTTCAGTAAACGAGCTACCTCATTGCTAATATGGTACAAACAAATTGTCTTTCTTTTAACAAGGTTCACGAGAGAGATCCTCATCATCTTCACCTAGGTCCGGTGGCAACAGAATGTGTCATGCATAATCAACCCATTTATACGTTTCACTGCTGGACACGAGTCACCTCTCAGGTGAGGGTTTAGTCCGCTACGCTCGGCCAACGCGGGTTGTGAACCTTCTCCAACGTGTAGGTTTCATCACGCTATTTTCTTTCACCGGAAAGCTCATGGTAAAATTTCAATTAATTTCAAATTTCATGCATAAAGCTCGAAAATAGATCATCGAAAAACTTCAATAACAATGAAAATTGTATTTGTTGCTTTACTAGAGCTGAAAACAACTTATTGCAACCAAGTTGGTTTTTCGCTGGTAACAAACTATTGTTTGACGTTTAACCTTTGACGTAATTATATTATTATTCACTGTGAATTTATAACTTATGTCAAACACGAAGGAATTCTTTGTAGAAATAAAAACAAAAAACACTTTTTAAGGCGGATAAGTACCTTTATCCGCACCATTCATTGCCATAAATAAGTTGTAAAGAGACTTTTTGAGCACCTGCTCTTTAATTGTATTCAATAGATTCATCTGTTATAATAGCTTCTTCGTATAACAGTGAAATCCAATAAATAAAAGTATCAATACAAAACATCAAATGTAAGAAACAAGTAATAAAACCTTCAGACAAACGTCTGCGCAGGAACGAACGCCATCAATAATATTAAATTTCACAGACGTGACGCCTTAGACGTAATACAATGTTATTAATAATTCATGACTGAATACTTTTTGTGTGATATCCAAAAGATTTTCTTTGGAGCTAGTATTCGATGGGGAATTATTGAAATTTGTGTCAAGTTATTAATATGTTCCGGTTTTTAGCAAAACAAATAACATAGTCATTATTTATTATTGAATAATAATGTAATACGCAAAATAGGTACACAAACATCGAATTGCGGACACCAGTTTCACCATACCATTATAATGTTTCAGTAGCAGAGAGCTCCTTGTGAAAAAGTTCGCCCAGGGAAGTACTGCCACCATACCTATTTCTTCCGCCAAGCAGTAATGTGAGCATTATTACGTTCCAGTTTTGATGGGTAAGGGTGCTGAGATTACAGGCATATTGGACTTGTCAACTTGTGTCTCAGGGTGACAGCGTGGTGGCAGTGCCCCGCCGATCTTTGCAATTTAAAGCTCTGAGTGGCACTGCAACTGCTATGGACAAGCGAACACGAATCGTTCCTCAGTCACTTGGTATCATAAGAAATATGTCAGAGAATTATTAACTTGAATATGCACGCGTGAACAACTGACGGTGAATGTAAACTTCATGGCGTAAATAATTAAACTGAAATTTAAAAACCCCCGATACAAAACATCGTACTCCAAACAGTCGCCTTCTGTAAGCCATTGTTATTATTACTATCAACGGATTTCCATATATCATATTTAAAGTTGATCTACAGGTGCCAACAAAATAAATTTTCATTTTATGATTGGGATCCCTACAGTAAATGGAAAGGAGCTGGTGATATTCAACTGCCGAACAAATGTTGATTAAACATAGTGTTAGGTTGCCATCATGATCAGGTCGTATTTTGCACGTTACAATGGACATTGTATCACACTCGAACAAATGGTAATTGAAATGTATCACTTTGTTAACTGTTACGTAGAATTTATTACACTTTTTGACTATAAATTCATTCAATTAGTTATTGTTTCCTTTTTATAATAATAATTCTTTATTTAAACAAGGCCCTGACTTCCGAGCTAGGTTCAATGACCTGTGTTACGGAAATCAGTGTCTTCTCTCATAATTAGTAACACTTATTTATTTCTGGCAGTTTATATATCTGCTGTTAATGTAATATCTATTAATATATG